ATGTGTCTTCTTTCCATGTTATCAGAAATAAGCATAGAGACATAGAATGTCTGCACAATCTTCGAAACTGGGAAGACTTATTAGAATACCTAAGACATTAGAAGACGTGATACAGAAGTGTTTAGAAGGTGTGAGAGCAGATGGAATGGAAATGGACTCTCCGAATTTTTAAGTGGAAAGTCAGTAATCTACTCAAGCCACTCAGACGACAACCCCGAACACTATGAGGGAGTGGTTACCATGATATGAACAACAGCATCGGGAAACTTTATGTGGTGGGAGCCAATCTCCACAAGGGTAATGACAACAAGATTCAATTCAAAGGAAGGAAAGTTCCAATTATCCAATACTATGCAACTGCAAACAGTGCAGAACAAGGAAAGAAGGAAGAATTGTACAAACAACTGTAGACAGTAATGGACAAGGCCTTGATCAGAGGGCAGCATCAAAATCCTGATGGGTTGAATGAGTGTCAAAATGGAAGCAAACAACATAGAAAAAGAACTCACCATGGGTCAAGAGGCTATCGACGAAATGACTGAGAACGGCGAACTCTTCACAGATTTCTGCTCCTTCAATGATTTGGTGACTGAAGACACACGTATATACACAATGTGAGTTAGGTTTCATCTAATGAACACGCTAACTTCAGATGGATTTTATCTCAGTCTGAAGTCAGTTCACTAGAGCATTAGTTGGCACTAATTTGATAAGAGGAGTGGATGCAAGTTGGGAGCATTACTTAATGCAAGAAACCTTCATGGTCAAGCTGGAAGTCTTCGAAACAGCTAGAGATGGACTGCAATTTAAGTTCAGAGACCGGGAACTGAGGGACGAAATTACAAGGGACCCATTCACTGTGACCATAAGAACAATGTTGGAGACACTAAGCAGCATCATCGTGAAAACCTGTGTGGAAGAACACTGAAACTCTCAGAAAGTGATTTTAAAAGGAACCTCTGGAGACGTTTTAGGAAGAAAGAGGTGAAAAGACAAAAATTGGCTCTGTGCGGACAAGTGGAAGCTAACAGAGGAGAGAGAGAGTGGAACAGAAGATAAACAAGTGCAAAGACAGAAAAAGAGGGAAGCTGAGTGCAAACTATAATGTACTGAGTAAAGAAGAAAAGAAGAGTATTAAGAAAGACAAGAGAAAGTTCTACGACACGCTGTCAACTGAAGCAAAGCAGACCGCAAGTAAGAGGGAATTCGGATCACTACATGCGACAACCAAGTTTTATTCAGAAATAGATTACAGCGGGTGACACTAATGAAAGATGTTGAAGAGAAACAAATTATCAAGGGAGGGAGGCAAATGAAACAGTGGACTGATCGCTTCAAAGGGCTCTTGGACGGAACACCACCTGCAACTCTTCCAGAAATACTAACAATAATCACAGAACTACTGGTGAACACCAACCCTCCAACAAGAAGGAAAGTCTTGAATGCGGTAAAGTTACTGAAAGGTAGTAGGAACATATGGATTTACTCCGGAAGCACTGAAAATGGATCTACAGACCCCAACGAGTATCCTCACGCTGAAGTTACAGAAAGTTTGGAAGCAGGGAATGGTATCAACTGATTGGAGGAAACATTACATGCCTAACTACCAGACAAAGGCGAGTTAAGACTTTGTAAAAACTGTCGTGGAAACATGCCACTTCTTGCAGCAAGCAAAATATTAAGTCACTTCATCCTGAAGAGACTAGAAGATTCAATGGAAGCAGAACTCCACCCACAACAATCCGCATTCAGGAAAGCCAAATCATATGTACGTCGACTAGCAACTCCACACAACACCATCGAACAGAGTATAGAATGCCAGTTAGACCTCTACCTCAGCTTCATCGACTTTGGAGAAGCCTTTGAAAATGACAATCGTGAAATGATTCGGAAACCGCTTTAACACTAAGGTATGCCCTATAACTTTCATCAACCTCACTCAAAAGATATACGATGATGCCACAAGTTAAGTGATTCACAACCAAAAGCACAGAGAAGCCTATGAAGTGAAGATATGAGTAGGACGAGGCCCCCTGCTGTCACCGAAGATATTTCTGATTGTGGTGGACTGGATTATGAGAGAGACTGTGGAGAGTGAGGATACGAGACAGGAATACATTGAACCGGTAAGAATACTCTCGAAGATGAAAGCCTCTCAGAGGATTGACATCTAGTGTCTCATGAATCCGAAGACTTACAGGTGGGAACCAACATTTTGGCAGAAGACGCTGGCAGCGAACACAGTACTTTCACTGAATACGGAGGAGACACACGTGGTGGGGATAACCAACCGACAGTGAAACGCGCCAATCATTATCGACGGGAGAAATTTGAAAGAGGTGACTACTTCCATTTATCTGGGTAGCATCATTTCAACTACAGGAATTCAGCACTGACGAGGATTTCACAACCAGAGTTGGCTCTGAAATGAGAAGAAAACTCAGATTTTCAACACGAATGTTGAGTGAGTTAGTGCTTGTGTATTGGTTAGAAACTTGGAGAGTGTAATTTGGAAAGCATTTCTAACAGGCTTAGAACTCTTATCAACAGGTAATAATAAAAATAGCTTTATTCCAAACAGTATTTGTGGTGCAGGTATGGAATTTTCAGCGTGCATTACAATATTGCATCTAATTACCTCATAAATTTTATAAGATTTTAAAAATAAAAAGCAACAACAACAAAAAGAAAAAAGAAAAAGAAAAGAAATAAAAAAAGAACAGCATTGCATTCACATTTTAAACAATGCACCACAGGATATGAAGTATAAAATTAGTCTGTAATAGAATATGTGAGCAACAATATAATAGTAACAAAGAAAGGAGAACAAAAGCTAATGGGAACTGTTTGTTAGAGTGCCGCAGTAAGTTGATCGTGTCATACCTAACGGATTTCTCATCACATAACAGCTGTGCCAGATACGGTAGTGTGGAGTTTTTGTACTTGGTAGTCCTAGCATATAGCCTCCTATGGTTGCTTCTGGTTCTACCAGATAAAATGCAAGGAGAGAGCTGTGCATAGAGAAGATGCTCAGGGTCTGAAAATATAGTATTCGCTAGTTTCTTACATGACATTATATGTCTATCCACAATGGTGTTAACCAGTTGGCTTAACGAAATCCCACTTGCCCTACTAACAGCTTTTAGTGCCCTACGCAGCAAAGCAAAATCTTTTTTAAGTAGTCCAGGAAAGATTAATGGGGAGCAGTAAAGAGGGATGGTTAGAAAACAAGAGTTGACAAACTGAGAAAGCAAAGACTGCTTTATACCAGACTGCCTTAACTTCCTAACGTAGAACGTTAAGCGAAACATCTTTCTAGTAACTAGCAAGATGTGAGAGGACCAGGAAAGATCGGAGGAAATACTAAGTCCAAGGTACTTGACATTAGATGTAGTTTCAACCTCTATGCCGTCAATGATAGTGGGACCATGTGAGCTAGCTAGTTGTTGTAGGTCACGTTTTCGTCTGAAAGTGAAATTTACTACCTGACATTTAGACGGATTCAGCTTAAGACCGTTTGAAGAGGACCACTGACTAATTTCTAACAGAAAGTTATTTAATTTAAAACAACCTGACTGAGAGTTGACAGGCATAGAGACAGAGAGGTCATCAGCATACTTGACAAAAGTGGCTACATCAGAATGGGGCAAGTCATGTAAGAAAAAAGAAAACAGAAAAGGAGAAAGAACAGCACCTTGAGGAACACCAGCTAAAGTAAGTGAGGTAGTGGAGGACTTTCCATTGTAGACGGTGTACTGCTTCCTATCAGAAAAATAGGAATGCAACCACTTATTTGTCCAGCTCTCAGTCTGTGTTGCAGCAAGCTTACTTAGCAAGAGAGACCTAGGTACAGAGTCAAATGCAGATGTGTAATCAAGGAAGGCACACCGAACATATTTAGCTCCTCTATCTAAACTAGAGACTATATTATGATATAGAACAACAGCGGCATCTAAGGTACACCTACTATGTTTATAAGCAAACTGGTTAGGGTCATTGAAAGTCTTTTTATAACTTTTAAAAAAGAAGAGGTAATAGCAATCGGTCGAAACTTAACAGTAGGTCCACTTGTTGATTTAGGCACTGGAACAACCTTGATATTTTTCCATGAGTCAGGAATAATACTTTTGGAAAAAGATTCATTGAAAGTGTTGGTTAATGGGTAACATAAGATGTCAGCACACTTCTTAAGGATAACAGCAGGAACTCCATCAGGATCAAGGGACTGAGTAGGTTTGAGAGATTGAAGACACTTAAGGACATCATTCGTGTTAAAACATGAGAAGCAGTCATTATTTATACTATTAGATTTGGGAATCATAACATCTGCAGGGATACATATGAAGGATTTATTAAGCATATCAACATCAACAGAAGTATCATTCATTATTTGCTTACTACCTGTGATTTCCTTTAATAGCTTCCACATATTAGATGAGGATTTACATGAAAGAAACTTCTGGTTATACGAAGCATTTAGTCTTTGTAATTCGGCTTTAATCAAAGTGTTCATTCTCTTAACACCAGACTTATTTTTCATTTTGTACAACCTCTCTTTTTCATGGCGAAGCTTTACATAGTGAATGTCAGATGGACAGAAAGAATTAGTCACAAGGAACTGTGGGGACGAACCACCGAAGGAGCTATTTTCCAACGGATATTCCAAAGCACATAGAGATTGATGGATGGGAAACACACTGAGAAAACCGTCGAATGACATCACGCGCGAGGCTATTGTTTGAGTGGAAGGTGAATGGGAGACGGCTAGCTTGGTGTTGTTCCGAGAGTGACACGGAGGAGATAGTGTGTGGGGGAGAGATGAGAGCTTATGAGCATTTGTGGAGCCAGCCGAAGACTATTTTAGTAGATAGGATTTAATTGGGATGTGCTATTCAAACCATAAGTCAATAGTAATGATAATTTAAATCAAGCCTGTGTTGCATATGGACTACGGTCTTGTAAATTTTCAAGTCAACCTTATGGTACTTTCAGACATCACGTTATCTTTTCAATCTTAAGACTTCATCAGCATAATTACCATTATTGATACCATAATTTTTGATGGGACTATCTAAAATAACCTTATTTGGAGCAACTGGTCTTAATTTAGTCGAGTGATCAGATCTAATATAAAAGAGAGGATCATCATCACTGGATTCAGACCAGTGACTGGATAACTTCAAATATCGACGCGTTTCTGAATTTGTGTATTGCCCTAGTTTTCAGCCAACCACAACAGTAATGTCATACAAAAACGGGATTCAAATCGCCTGGAGTACCAATATTAGCAAATAAGCTTAGGTAATTCAATATTAATTATAGTAGTGATGATATCCAAATCAACCACTAATAAATACTAAATAGAAGATAAAATATTTATCTATTATTAACAGGGCCTGACAGAATTAATTGTAAAAACAACTCACAACTGTCTTTAAGTCTATGGAACATGGTATTGTAATGGTTATTTTTTCTCCAATTAAAATAACACTGTCAACAACTACTATAAATGAAGCTGAGAAGATAGAAATACAGTACAAAAAACAACTAAAAGGAGTGACATAAGACAGAGTCTAAAACATTCAGTCGTTTATGTCATGATACGCGAAGATGGCGTCTATTTCACATGTTTCTTAATGCTTCTAACTTATAATGATGGATATCATCTGAGAATGAAGACTGGTCTAAAGGTTTCAAAAAACTCTTATTCTATCAGGTAAATGAACTTACAAAGACAGTCTCTAATTTGAAACGAGGAATGGCATTCGGATCTGATGGATTGACTACAGAAGTTTTCAAGGACATTAGTGTCAAACTGATCTCTGGATTAAGTAATGTCTGGGAATTAGAGATAGTCCCACCAGACTGGTGTGAGTCACTGATAATTCCACATTATAAGAGGGGAGATAAGTCTTCTTGTGATTATCATAGAAGAGTTAGCTTGACTGGTATGGTATCTAAAGTTCTAGACTAAGTAATCATTTCTAGATTAAGTGAAGCTCGAGAGAAACAAATGAGAGGAAAACAGGCTGGCTTGAAAGAAGGAAGAGTGTGTGTCAAGAATATCTTCAACCTTCAGAAGATTCTGTAACTTAGTCACATTAACTTGCGTCTAATAATTGCTATATTTCTTGACCTGAATAGGGAATTCGCATCCATCTAACAAGAGGTGCTGTGGCTATGTTTAGCTACAAGGGGGGAGCCGAGAAAGTACATCTCACTAATCACGGCATAGTATTTGAACTCGCTAAGTTATGTAATAGCTTACGGAAGGATATCAGCAGAAGGGATGACAAAAAGCGGTGTCCATTAAGGATGCCCAAAGAACTCATTCGCATTTAAATTCACAATTGATATAATTATGGAATTGATTCTAATTGACTGTGGCGACTTGGGGATTGACTTGTTACTTGAGTGCGGTCTCCTCGAATTATAGCATGCTGGGGGATATTGTCTTCCCGGGTAAAGATACTGACAAAATGTTGTCTTCTGAACACCTTAAGCAGAAATCCTCGAGTGTTTGGCAAGCGATTCGCCCCTGTAAAATGTAAGATGACACTGCAGATTTGAACTGCAGTGACTTATAGCTCAAAGATAGACTTTGAAGTGGTACACAGTGTTGACTACTCCACTTATTTAAGAAGTAGCACCAGCCTGAATGGACTGATTGCTGTCAAAATCTTGGCGTGAATACAAAGGCTTATGTGGCATTCGCCAACTTACATCATTTCTGGAGTAGACATGATATCCGGTTATCGTGTATATTGCTCAGCAGTTCATTCATTCTTCCTTTATAGCTGTGAGACATGGCCGGTGAAAGTGGAAGATATGAAAATGCTAGCTGTCTTTGATTATAGGTGACTAAGCTCTATCTCTGAAGTAAATTGGTATAATATGGTGTGTAATATTGAAGTTAGGAGTCAAGTGTTAAGTAAGGAGGGTATTTCGGCCGATGAGTCTGTGCAGCTACATTAACTGGGATAGATAAGGCTTGTATTACACATGCCAATTTATAGCCTTCGTCGGCGGGCAATATTAGTTGACATAAGATTAGCTTGGAAAAGAGTCATAGGTGGTCAAACCAAAAACTGTCATCAGTCCGTGAAATATTCGACGCTTTGAGCCATGTAGGGAAGTTTAGGCTGTCTGGTTGCTGTCTTTAGGATGCTAAGAACCGAGGACTGACGACTATTGGAGATATGGCTAAAAACCATTCTAAGCAGCTCAGATGCCCTCACTCTTGGGATCTCCAATATCCTCTAAATCTTAATGTTTTCTCATGTTATTATTCTTTCTCTGTCACATTTATGCGTATTATAGTACCTCTGAGTCCCTTACTCCTCTCTCTCAACTTGTAATGTTTCACTTCTGTGTTAAGTTCTGTTTTGAAACTCAGACTGTGGGATTTTAGAGGTGGATCCCAGAAAAATATACCCATGACTAAATATGCAAACAGCCTCTACAGTTAACGGACTCTCTTGGCTTTAGTATAGTGGTGCCTCCTGGTTCTTAGTTTCACAGCCAGAGTCAGCAGTGGTGTAGTCTTCTACATCATTCCCAGTCTGAATATATACATATATATATATATATACATATATCAGTTATTAAATGCTCACCTACTACCTATTCCGAACTTAGCCACCAGATTACCGTTAAGTCTGCACTTCTGGTCCGGTCTTATCTTTAAATAATATTTTATTTGTAAAAGACGTAAAAGCATGCCATTACTTATAAACAGTATAGTTTTCAACACTCAATGCTCATTTCTACTTCACTTTTAGAAATTAAGAAACTCGTCGAGAATGAGCATGCTGTATTACACCAGATAATCTTCATCGATTTCCGGTTGAATACCTTATAGGCTAACAGGATCCACTTCTCGATGTCTCTGAGAATCTATGTTTATTCATTTATGCACATTATTACCTTTATGTGGCTTAATGGCGGTCTAAAAGCGTAGACTGACAGTGTATGTCCGATACAGGAGCCATAACCTTGCGTATTTTAATAATGAACGATTGATTTCTGTAAATGGAACAGTACATTTCATATTCAGGGCTGGATTCCTGGAATTTGTAATACATTTCTGATTACTTTTCAACTTGACAAAGAAAGAATTCACCTTGTCATGCTGTTTAAGACGAAAAAGAACTAAATACATGAGTCGGCGTAAGTTCTAGCCAAGCCTAGTTTCACGCTCCACCATATCTAAGTCTTCTCTGCAGTCTGAGTATTGTGTGGTTTAGGAAGAAGTATTAGTGTCTCAAACATATGGATTAGCATAACAAAATCGATTTGCCCCAGCTATTAATTTGTGCGGAACAAAATTGTTTGACCAACGAATTAACGTAGAACTTAACATAGAAGCGTATCATTTCAAGCCCAGAATACTATAGCTGCTTACATTGCTTAGCCCAAAGACCAATAACTTCATACACTAATGCCATGTTTTCGTTTAATTATTTATAATTCTCTTCCGACCTTATTCTGCCCCAGTTAACAATGCTGATCTAGGCAGTCTGGACATAAACAACACATACCTTAAACATTCCAGATGATGAAAATTCCATGCCTGCCTAACACCTTTTTTGACTTTAGCTTGATTCTACTCCGTGTTTTTGGTACAAGTATGGAATTTTCAGAATGTGATATCGGTAGTCCAATTTCGCAGGCCGACCACTGATATCGGGTGTGCGCCTGCAGGGGATCGAACCCCGGACCATGTGCATGGTCGGTGAGAGTCCTAACCTCTGTGCCACTGACGCACCCTCCACGCTGATCTACCTAATACAAGCGACTATTGTTTTCATATCTTATAATTCTGGTTGCCATGTCTTACAGCCGTGTAGTAGAACAGACTAAACTATAGTTCAGCTTACTTTTCATTTGATGGATAGCCGCGTTTTCCAAAAGCCATAAAGATGATGCAAGCTGTTGAACCTCAACTAGCCTTGTGTATACCCACTGAGATTTGGTGAGCAACCAGTCAGTACATTGCACCTGATAAGACTTACCTAATAAGTGAAGTGATTATTAGAGTGTACCGCTCCACACACCTTAACCGGGTGTCAGTTCGGAACGGTCTTGCAGCATTATCTTACATTTGACAACAATGATTCACATGTCAAATGTCTGCTTGTGCATCTTGTCAACACCTTCACTTTACGGGACAATATCACCTGCATACACTAATCAACAAAACATTAACCCCATTTGAAGTCAATTTCTAGGAAGTAGGTCCAGAGTTACAGGTAAATTAACTAGGCATAATGCCACATACTACTGAGTGATATAAGTAGCTGGGAACTAGTCATGTCAGGTGGCAACTGAGATCTCTCAACAGAGTCTACCTGGGTACGCCACTTGCGAGTTCAACTCTAAACATGCCAAAATGTTGTTTGGTTGTTAGATCACTTCTGTCTAGGTATCAGATACTACAGCTTGAAGTTAGTGGTTTTAAATCACTCATAATAATCGCACAATGTCGCCTGCTTTTATGATTACCGTTTATGGTATCACGCAGATCACATATGGTTATCATAACATCTTGGTTTTCCAAAGTGAATTCTCATCTCACACCATGTAATTGAAAAATGACAAATTTGGAATAAAATAAAAATGATGACAGTAAACATTGATGACAGACAATACCAGTCGTCGACACTTCAAAGAATAAACCTCTACATGCATCTAGACGGTTGAGTGAGTCAGAATTACTGCAGCATACTTCGTTCTCAGTCACATCAAGTTCCTCTTCTTCCATGACTCATTCGGAGGAAACGAATATCACCTTTCGTTAAGAAGCATGATAAGTGTCAGCCGCCTCTTAGTGATTGGAATCTTAGAATCTTTAGGGCCGTAAAGATTTGGCTAGTGCACCTTCCTAGGAGCCTGAAACATTCCCACTTCTCTTGAGTCCTACTTAGTCTTCGTATGACAACAAAATCGATGATGCCAGATCTTACGTTATTCAAGCTGACTTCCCAGTAGTTATCTCTGGAATACTTGTCGCCTTTCACATACAGTGGGACGACCAACAATCTACATCCATCTAATGGACTTATTTTACAGTCATGCACCCATACTAGTAGTGTGGTTGATCTGTTGAATAATTAATGACTACC